GAGGACAATAACAGGCCACCGTGGGGATCTGTGCTGCCTCGACCTGGAGGTGACACCTGTCATCCCACCCCCATTCCATGTGGCCCTACCTGTTTGGGACGGGTGGTCCCCTGTACAGCCAGGAAGGAGAGAAGATCCAAAGGAGACCCTCAGTCACAAGAAGGCACAGACTGCACGTCAGTGGTTCCCAAATGAAGCAGGCAGAGAGCCTCCTGTTGAAAATGCAGGTTCCCAGGGCTACAGTCCATGTGTTGGTTCAGGTAAGTGTGAGCTGGGCCCAGGCAACTCTGGCAGAGGCGGTCAGCAGACAGCCCTGCGGGAAGCTTTGCTCTGGATGGATGTGGACACTCAGAGGTCTATAAAAATGACCAATCAGGAAGGCAGGGCAAAGTGCTGACACTCCCGGGGCCCCGACCGCGCTCAGGCCTGGCTGGGAACTGGAGGGAGGCCAGGAGGATCAAGATGCAGGCGCAGCCCCCCCCCCACTCTGCCCAACAGTGGATGGTCCCGAGCCAGACAGGGGGCAGGCAACCAACTGCACCTGGGGCAGAATAAAGCACGGCTCCCAGACCCCACGCAGGGCCGTGCACTGTCACTGTCAAGGGTAAACGGTGCCCAAGGCAGCCGTCACTTTCCACCACCGGTTGGAGTCCAATCACAGTGCTTCTCAGTTTGATGCCTCCTGGGGCCACCAGTTGGTGTCTCAGAGGGACCGTCCCCCCTTCCCAGCAGCACACACGGACCGTCACATTCAAGCTCAATTCCTGCCACTCTTACCATCTACTGCATCCCCCCCCCCGCAGCGCACTCTCTGTGCTGAGGCCACACCTTGCCACCTAACCCCCACCCAAAATGAGCGTCCAGGCCTCCAGGTCCTTGCTCCAGGACACTCCACCCAAAGGACTGTCCTTGGGCCAGGCCCTCTATGCCTGTCACTTGGTGCTCAAGGCTCAGGTGAGATGTCCTGGACAGCCTGCCCTGGTGCCTGTCTCCTCCTTCTCATCCCGAATTAATCTCTCCTTCCCAGTAAAGTGAGCACTTTGCTCCAGCTACCATAACTGCCCCTGCCTGAGTCCTGGGCGGGATTCTCGCGGTAACAATGAAAGACCTGCAAGTTAGTGTCAGTATTCCAAAAATCTACCTGAGAGCCAGTACCCCCAAGCAAGTCACCTGGACCAGCTAAAGCACCCAGTTCCCCGTGCCTGTTTGGAATTACACCAACCGAAGTTTACCCATAAAAGGGGAAAGAAAATAACCAAGTGCAGGCATCTAGACGGTGCCAAATAAGCAGCTGCCAACTGAATAAGTGATAAGAGAGGAATGTTTGGAGGCAAAATTTTCAAAGCTAGTGAGTGTGCAGGGGAAAATAACCAGCCGCGGCCCACCGTGCGCTGGCTCTACCCGACTGTGAGCATCCTGGAGGCCCGCGGCCTCTCTCCGCCGTCATCCCCAGCACCTGCCCGTGCCTCCCACACAGGGAGCACTCAGAGCAGGATGTTGGAGTGATCGGAGGTGTTGTTCATTTACCTGAACAACGGAGCGCCCTGAGCAGACCCGCAGTCCCTGGAGGGACATCCCAGAGAGGAAACCACCAGCAGCCACAAGGAGGCAGAGAGAGGGGAAGGGAGTGACTGAGAAAAGGACCAAGGACCCCAAGCTCCCAAGTGAACCAGACAGATCCCCTCCCCGCAAGTCGGCATTTCAGATCATCATCTTTCCAGGGTCCTTTCTGCAGTGCTGTGATAAAGGGATTTCCCACATTAACCGATCCTGGAGGACGACGGCCGACAGCCATGTGTCAAAGGGGGCTGCCGATGACTATTCAACACAACATTCATGTTCTTATCAGCATTTGACTCACCACGTCTTGCCCCTCCGGGATCCAAAGAGCTAAGACTCCTCGAAATCGGTAACACGTCCTAGTCTCATCGCTGAGAGGATGTGAGCCACACCGACCATCCCACACACACGTTATTGAGGTGTCATATCCCAAAAGCCTGATTTGAGAACTGGAGTGACACCTCTTCCCACACTGTGCTTGCTCCGCACAGTGCTGGCTTTGGCATCTGCAGAAATGCTCCTGGAGTCTCTCCTGGAATGCTGGGTGGCCACAGGGCAGCGGAAGCCTGCTGGGCTCCTGCCCTCGGCTCCGCCCCCAGTCCACATGTGAGAGCGAAGGCGCCTCCGGGCCCACCAGCTTCACAGTGCTGGGTGCAGCCTTGACGCCACGCCCGCACTCTGGTGTTTCCCAAACACTGGGTTCCTCTAACCAATTTATGTCCTGCTCAGCTAAACTTTCTGTGCCAGCTCTGACGTGCATCCCTCATTCCTATGTTCTTCCCAGCGACTTGAAGTTCCTAGGCAGAGCCGTCCAGAAGGCACAGATCACCTCTTAGGCTGTCCACGGGGTTGCCTGGAGAGCACCTGCTTAGGATCCTGAATCAACCAAAATCTGGTCTACAAACTGAGAACTGGCTCCTTAATCACGTGAGCCGGGAAAAGCTTTCGCCCCTCCTACCTGTGGGTGCCAAACGCATTTCATCAGCGCCACCTGAGACGCTCCGGGAGCACACGGCAGGGTTCCCGCCCTCGTGCAGAACACACGTGGTCTGAGAACAGGTGCGTCCACAGATGGCGTTTCCCCCGAGGCACAAGTTTTCAAAGTAAGATATTCCCCACCCCAGAGGATTATTCTCTTATCCTGGGATAAAAAAAACAGGGTAGAAACCCTGAGCAGAACCAGATGAATTATCTCAGCTAGATTGGACCCAGCAGTGGAGAAGCGGGATTCCGCTTTCCAAACCTACTCAGGTGCAGCCCAGCGGCTGAGACCATCGTCCTGAACAGAGCCGAGTACAAGCCACGGAGCCTACCGTCCGACCAGCGCTGGCGACAGGAAGAATAGAGCTTCCCCCAGAAGTCAGCCCCTGTGACCTCACCAGAGGTGCATCTGAGAACGCAGAGGGCCGTCTGTACCTGTGCACTCTGAGCCCGTCCTTCTGGAAGCCGTCATCTGAGGATGACAGATCCCTGCCTGGGGGGGGGGGGTCCCCCACCCCATCCCAAAGCTGGTCTTTGCAGGCAAAGGAGCTACAAGTTGACACAGTGCTAATATTTCCCATTTCATATGAAACCAGAGAATCGGCCAAAAATGCCATCAGTGCCCAAGTGCTTCCCTCTGGGAAGAGCAGACTCCCCATTAAGTAATTAATACACAGGGGAAGTTTGGAGGAAAGAATGCGGACCGGCTGTCTGGTTTTTACATGACATCCTAAGGACGCAAGAAGTACAGAAACAATAATTGCTGAAATTTCAAATCCACTGCACAGATCGTTACATCTTTATAAACATCTCATAAATGTTTGAGGAAGTCTGAAGGAAAATCTGAAAACAATATAAACATGACTGGACCCTTTCTTAATCTTGAGAACTCCCAGCAGCAACCAAACCAGGCAGCCTTGGGGCTCGCCTCGGCTTCCTTCAGCATCACTCACAGGTACGCAACCAGTTCCACCCGCCCTGAACACTCTGTCATTTCCAGCAGGCAGTAACCTAACATGAGGCTTGGCCTCGGTGCCCACTGGAAACCGGCGCCCCCTTCCTCCCCGGACCACACGGCAATCACCAGCTGTAATGTTTATTCCAAAAGGAGAAAAGTGGAGTCAGAAGAGGGGAAGGTGCTTTCTGTCTTCCCAAATGCACCCAGACCCACTGAAGTTCTCCTGGTTCCCTGTTCCCACTGATAATAACACTAGTGTTTGGTGAAGCAGAGACCAGGCGCCTGCCTGCAGGAGGGGGAGCTCGCAGCACTTCCTGGTGATGTGAATAAAGACTCTGGGGGGATTTCATCCCCGGTAAAGAAAAACGTGCGAGAAAGGGCATTTCTTCCCATGTGGACACCCCCCTGGGCCGCCCAGGGAGGAAGTCATCTCGAAGCCTCCATGACTCTGGGTTCTGGGCACAGACCCGGGAAGGGGCCTCCCGTTCGGGATGCCTCCCTGGGCTTTTCGGTCAAACAAACAAGCGGAAACAACCTGGCAAATCCAGAAAGTTCATGCGACTGTAACATTTAAAATGTATCCAGAAACAGCCACGGCCAGAAAGGAGAAAGAACCCGACGGCCAATGGAGGGCCGAGTACAGCTATGAGCGCCTCGGGGCCAGAAGGTCCAGGGGTCGGAGCCGAGGTTTTGGGCTTGGCTCTAACAGGCAGAGACGCGACAGCTCGCTGGTGCCGGCGCCAGGAGGGGAGGTCGGCGTATAGAGGGCCCAGGGGCGCCGACATCCCTGAAAAAGCCTGTGCCACATCTGACCCTGCTCTTTCCAAGATCTCTGTTTTCAGGCAACGGACGTTGGGAGCCAGCGGGTGCCCTTCGCTGCCGCCTCAGAAGGGCCCCCGCCCACACCCTAAGCGGACAGAGACTTGGCACAGAGCTCCGGGCGGGCCCCCGACTTCCAGAGCCTCCGCAGCAACAGTTTTCCAGCCGGACAAGTACCGCAATCGCCTCCTGGGAGAATGCTCACCAGGACCCAGAGCCTGGCCCTGAGGGCGGCAAGGAGCAATGGGAGGTGAGCCAGGTAGGAGCTAAGGCTGCAGGCGCCGTCTCAAGAACTCACACAGTAGAAACTTCCCGGGGGGCGCGAGCGAGGTGCGCGTCCGCCTCCCGGGGAGAGCCCCGGAGCTCAGGGCTAGTGCAGAGCCAGGGAAGGCGCAGGCGAGGGGACCCGAGCGGCGGCTGGATCCGCTCCCCGTTCGCTGGTGGTGGCGGGAGCAGGTACCGGACGCGCGCACGCAGCTACCTCCGTGTGGAGGTTCGTGGGAAGGGGCCAGGAGGGTGTCTTTCAGTCCCATAGCACAAATCCCCGGCACTGAGCTGAGCCGGGACCTGGAATCCAGGCCCCGGCGGGACGCGTTGGCGCAAACAAAGTTGGGGCGCAGAGACGCTCGGTGCGTGGGTCCCCGCGTCCGTGCGCCCCTGCCCGCGGCGCGCCACTACTTACACGAAGACCCCGAAGAGCAGGGCTCGGACCCCTATCTCAATGGCCAGCTCACGCATGGTGCAGCCGGAGCAGATCCCGCGCAGCGGCAGCTGGTGCTCTCCACGGCTCCCGCAGCTCGGCCGGCGCCGGCTCGCTGGACCCGGGGCTGCGAGGCAGGCGCGCTCCAGGCCGCGGGCGGAGGCGGGAGGCGGGCGCCAGGCGGGGGCGGGCGGCAGCGGGGAGGGCTCAACCCAAACCTCTCTCCTCGGACCCTGGGGTTCGAGGACGCCGCGGTAGCTCGCCCGACGCTCTCGGTCCCGCGTCCCTGCACCCAGCGCGCGGCGCCCCTGGGACTCCCCGCTCCTGCTCGCCGAGCGCCGCCTCCGCGGCCGGGTTGGGGAAGCCCCGCCGCCGCCCCTGCGCGCTCCCCTGCTCCCCGCCAGTGGGCGGCCCCTGGGCAGCGCGCTCGCTGGGTCTTCGCTTGCAGCCCCTCCGCGTCTCCTTGCTCCCCGGGCTCCCGCTCCCTGGCACACACACGCACGTGGGCAGGTAGTACAGGGCGCTTCAGGGATTCTCTGGCGCTCCAGGCGGCCCCGGCAGCCGCTGTTCGTGCCAAGCAGAGCTCCTCCCTTCTGGTTTCTGTCCTCCTTACACCCTTCCAACCTGAATTCCTCCACCCTAGGAAGTTTCCCGTAGGCCACTCGCAGGCTTCGTTTTGGCCTCATGAAGGGCCAACCAGGCGAGCGCTGGCCCAGACTTATGGCAAAGGAGAGGCTGGCTGCTCGCCATGTCGCCAGCGCCAGGTGACCCCTAGGGATGGAACCGGATAGTCTGTGGGCTTGTGCGCGCTCGCATTCTCTCTCTGTCACACACACACACACACACACAGAGGAATTTATAATTCAGGCAGGTCCCTCTTCAGGACACTTAAGCTTTGCTCCCCATGAAAAGAGTGAAGATGGCAGGACCGGATCACAAATCCCACAGAACAGCCGCCACTCCACGGGCTCGGAGGTGGCTGGCTCCGGCAGCTGTCCAGCTGTTGGACATGTACCAAATAATAGAACCTTCCAGAAGCGCCACATTGCTGCCCCGGCTGACCAAAAAAATGGACAAAAGATGGAGCAGTAAAGGCAGGTTCAATAAAGCAATCCAGCCACAGCACCAGCCCCGGCTGGGTCTTCGCGACTCCCGTGGAATGTGACGTGTTCGCGTGGAAGGAAGCGTGGGTCGGAGGGCCCAGCCGTCTCGGAGACACCCTGTCATAAGGGACCGAGTAAACACGTTCGCCCCTCGCCTGCACGTGATGAGCACTGTCACCGTGGACTGTGAGACTGAGGTTTGAAAAATTACTTCAGAACGTGGCACTCGGATTTAAGCGCCACTCCCCGTGGCTGCGCGCATCTTCCCAGTGCTGCTTCCTGAACAACGCCCGTATTTCACAGGGAGCTTCTGGGCCTGTCACGGAAATCACCACCATCCCTCCACAGTCGTGCCTCCGCCCCTGGATTTTTCAAAATCCCAAACAATATTGTCCGTTGTGATGATCCCATATTGACCAGACTTGCTATTTTCAAAAGCCAAGACCACCTCTGACGAACACAACTTTGCAACACTTTTTATAACCTCGTTTCCAGAGGTTACACTTTGTATCTCATTGGCGCCTACCTGGCTGCTCTAAGAGTATGGCCTGGCAACAGGCGGCCCCACGGGGCCCTGACCTGCAGGGACCCACACATGCAGGCTTTCTGGGGTCACCTGCTGTAAACTTGCTGAGATGCTGAAACCACCAGCGATCCAAGAGGAATTTCAGACGAGGTGGTCAAGTTCAGCCTGGTCCGCCAGCATCTTCCATGACGGGCTCAGTGAATATCTGTGCTCTTGAATACCTCCTGGGACGTGCCACTCACTCACTGCTCGTTCCTGTTCTGATGAGATCTGCTGGGGCCACTTGAGCAGAAACAGGTGCAGGATGTAGAGTTGCCTGTGGCCTACAGACCCGATGGGTCCGAATGGTGCTTTGTGGGCCACACAACGAACGCAAGGATAATCTTTAATTATCCTCCCCCTGAGGAGATAGGGAGATGGCGATGAGGATGGAGACAGAGGGGGAGGGGTGAGAAGGGGAAACGTAGAGGGACATGGAGATGTGACCATTGTAGCTGGAGTTTGGGGTGTAATCATGCTGATTGAGTAAATCTCGACCACAAAACATCCTTCACACCAAGGGGACTGAGAGTGAAAAGGGGTGAAGTCTTAAGCTAAAGTCGGTTACTATTAGCAGAAGAAGGATGAGGGGGTAGTGGGAGGCAGGTTTCAATGTCCACCACACGAGCTGCCCGCTGCAGAGATCTCGCTAGAAGGTCGTGGCCGTGAGAACAGGGCCTGTTTTCCCATTCACTGCTCTGTCCTGTAGGAAAATGCCCAGCACAGAGCAGGTGCTCAGTAAATACTCGCGTTTGTTGTGGGAACAGGTAAGTGGATGAACCTCAAGCACTGGGAGAATCTGGTGAATGTGGTGTCACGTGATTTTGTTCTGCTCGTCTCTGCCTTTGTCCCAACAAGGACCCTCACGGAGGAGTAGGGTTCCAGCAACATCTAGCAGCCGAGTCTGTGCACGTTAAACCCCCTGTCTGACCGTCCCTTTGCCACTCGAGATTGAAGAAAACAGCACGTGTTACTTCCTAACACATGCAGGTGACCTTGATGAGTTTCACAAATATATATATACATATAGCATATAATATATTGTATATAGCATATAATATATTACATATATAACAACATACATAATATGCATTATATATAATATGTATATGAGAGAAATAGAGATTGTATCTTGGAGCACAACTTCCAAAAACACATCTTTCCATTCTGTATTCTCCCTCAAGGAGGCTAAGGAGGGTCTGTCCCCACATACAATGTGTTCAGAGGAGTGACAGAGACACACACACACATCCTGACACAACGGCCCAACGCCACTGCCGGTGACCGGCAGACGGGCCTCTGGATTTCCAAAGCCGGTCCGAGCACAGCCCTCCCAGATGGGACCACAGAACTGCCTCCCCCGGGGGTGAAGGTTGCCTCATCAGGCTTTCTAGTAGCCTGATTCTCCAGGTGTGGCTCCCAAAGGGATGGAGTTTTCCCACCTTGGTGTATGGGTAACGCCGGGTTTGGGGGAGCATGTGAAGCCCCCATAAATTGTTTTTGTACAGTTTAGGGTATTTTTCTGATAAGAGGATACATAATGTTTATCTGACTCTCAGAAAGCTGGGGTCACCCAACCTTAAGCTAATAGGGGTGAAAACAGATAAGATCTGGAGGAATCCAACCCCACTGACCAGGAATAAGGCCCTGTGGCAAGCTGTGTCTAATGCCCCCAGCACTGGGAACTCCCGCAACCTAAGCCACTATAGTCCTGGTTGCAGTTAAGACAGTTTGATTGGGATTTTTCTTTCCCATCTTCGAGACCTGATTGAATTGTTGGAATCTGTTAGATCTCTGTTTGCCAGATAGCTCCCTTTGCCAAGCACTGTTGAGGGTCGTATGGGAAACCCAGGAGGTCTAGAGGCTGTGAGTTTCATTAGGAAACCAAGATCAACACCCCCAAAGCAAGACCCTAGCGACTCGGGGCTCCAGTAAATGGTGCAGACACTGCAAAGCAGTTGAGCGAGGCCGTTCTGTCCACCCGTTAGTGGTAGAAAAGCATTCCTTTCTGAGTGCCTCGCTCCTTCCTCGGCCTCCAGTGATCACACGCGTGACCAGGAATTGTCCGTGGGGGACCGTAGGAGAGAGGGATGTCACCAGGACAAAGCCAGTCCCCACCCATTTTACCTGAAGCTCGTCTCCTTAGTTAATTCACAGGTCTGTTTTGTAACTTTCTGGGACACAAGATGCTCTGACACTTGAGTAATAAGTGATATTCACGTGATGTTTTCCCCTTGTCTGTGTGAAGGGTGCTAATGAGAATGGGTGCCAGAGTAAAGTAACAGCACTCCCTTCCTTTCAAGTTCATGATCGTTACTACCAGCAACATCCTTAATCTATGCAGGGAAGAGGCAAAATGGAGATGCCAACAGCCCAGAAGTTTTTCCTCATTTTTGTCTTAGAGTTGAAGTGGAGGATTAATAACAGGCCAAGGTCCAGTGGGCCCCTAGGTGGGAGTGCCAGATATCCCTGTAATCACTAAGAACCATCTGCAAAGCAGGGGCTGCCAGGGAGGGGTGGGCAGGCAAATGGATCAGCCACTGGTCACTGACAGAAGCACCCCAAAAGGAATAGTCCCACACTAATGACAAGTGCGCTGTTCATACTGCAGACACTTAAAGTTCTAAGGAATTATTGGTAAGGATAAAAGTTAAGGGAGGCGGGACGTGGGCAGGAGACAGGCACTGTATGTTCCACACACCAATTGGCCTGTTGTAAAAAGAGGGAACGTGACTGCGTGATTCTTCACCAATGTTTATCAGCATCACGTAGACGAAAAGACACCCTATTTTAAGATGAGAAAGGTCCTCACTTTCCGCCTTTCCCATCTGTGCCATTGGGGACAGTTAATAAATTTGTGGATGGGCGGAGACAGAGCACAGGCTTTTTGCACTTAGGTTCATCAGAGGTGTGGTCTTGATGAGGCCTTTGGAGTTGAGCAGACCTAAGTTTGAACCCCACCTCTGCCCCTCCTCCTCTGTGTGACATCGGGCAGGTGAACCAACCTCTCTGCTCCAGTCTCCATAAAATGGGGGTGGTAATTGTACCCGCCCCTCGGAGCAGTGGGGACGCCCAGTGAGACAGAGCATCAAAGCGCTGAGACCCGGGCACAGCACCCGGCCTAGTGTTGGGGGGCTTGGGAGACTAGCAGCGCACATTGCAGATGGACCAGGCAGGGGGCTGGCGTTTCTCTGCGCACTGCGTGCCGGAACGCAGTGGTTTTCCGATCTGGTTCTGCTCCAGGGGCGGTAGCTTTAACATATATTTCAACCACTTCAGAAACTGTGAAAACAGGAACGCACACCTGCCGAGGTGTCCTACTAAATCTCAGCGCGTGGAGGACTGCCAGGGCCTGAGCCGGTGCAGACAC